ACAAACAGAAGATAAATAAATTTGATGATAACCTGAAACAGAAAAACACGTTAAGAGAAGAGGTTTTAGAAATTTAAAATGATGTCAAATACAAATATTTATATTGTAGATTCACAGTTGAGCACCTGGCATAGTTGGGATTTGATACTGTAAATAGCACTGCCTTGTTATATGCTCATAGGTCAGCAAGAATCTCTATTTCTACATTGGCAGATGTTGGTAAATATGTGGTAGAAGTAGCAAAGAATCATGAAAAATTTGAAACTATAGTTAGAATATCTTCAATTACTCTGACCTTGAGTGAATTATTAAAAAAGTTTAGATGAGCTAGTGGTAGCACATGGACCGTCATTGACAGATATTGTCAATCTAAATTAGATGATCCAGACTACCACTACCATGTGAGTAATATGAAACTACTCAGGGAATTCCTTTTATATAATCTTGATCTGGAAAGCTATAGGCTGAGTAAATTCAGTTTCAAATTAGACGATGACATAGACAAGTATTAGTAGATGTACATAGTGCTGGTCTTAAATGCATTCACTTTTTACCAAGATTATTATATAGTTTATAGGAATAATATATGTAAAATTCTTTATTAAACAAAGAATAAATAAATAAATAAAATACAAATTTTTATTCTACAAATCATCTACATGAAATAAAATCTAATATCTATTGTAATTTTTATAATTGGTATATCAAATTAAGGTGTGGGAACATGACTTAAATTAGATGTAGCTTGATACCACCTGTTATACATCTCATTATCTAAATTTTTTAATAAAAGTAATTCACCATTCATATTATTGATATAAGGTGACCTTTTCATTTCACAACGTCATATTTCATTGTGGTATAAGTATTAAAGTCAACACGTACTTCTTTCTATAATTGCCATTTACAATCATTGGTGAATGTTAGCTAATCGGTATGATATTCGTGGTTTCTAATAAAGGTATTATCACTTTCACTTGATGGTTCATACTCTCCTTTGTATAAAAGATATGATACTTTTATTATCTACTCTGACTAATGATCTGTCGTTCCTGTTCAGGATAATACGAGCTGATTTGTTATATTCATCAAATTCGAGAATTGACCAAATTGAGTAGTTGATACCTTCATAGTTTACTACCATATCACATTCAAGAGAGTAGAATCCTTTTTTATCAAATTGATTTGGATACATGTTTGATTACTTGTTTCAAGTAAAGAAAATTAGGATTAACAAACGAATATTTAAATAATTGCGAGAATGAGAACATAGCAATAACAAAATTTTATGTAGATGCATGTACAATTATGTTTTGACTACGAGTTAAATTATGGCGCACCTAATCAATCAATCTCAAATATCGTACATATATCTAAAATTGATTGATCACAGGTTAGTTAAACTTTAATTTATTATCATAATGAAATGTTATTACAAATTAATTTTATAGAAATATTCTTAAAAGAAAAAAAAAATGTTTGAGAGTATTACGTAGTTTGAACAACTACTCGACACAAGTTGCTAACCCATCATCATTCTTATCAACATTACATTTTTGACCATCAGGACATCTAGCATCAACAACTTCAGCATTGAATAGAATATCTGAATTGGTTTGATTCCCATTATCTACATCATTTTTATCTTTATTCTTTGACCTTTTTTCTTTCTTGATCTTTGAAATTATCACACAGCTTCTTATAATACCACCAGGTGAATTATCACAAAAGGATCCAGCCTTAAATATGCATGTTATGCAGGAAGAATCAAAATCAACGAGAGTTGCATCATCACCAAAGATGGGGGTGATTTTTACTGCTATCAGAACAAATAACAACAGTGGCCGAAGATATCAAATGAGCATCGTGAAATGATTTACATGATATGATTTATCAGAAATTTATAAGATGATTAACAATGATGACATTCAGGCTGAATATGCCCCTGAAATGTTTGATGATCAAAAATAAATTATTATAACACATATTGATATAATGATCATGATCACTGTGAGGATTGTAAATGTGTAACCTGGTCCAAGTTTATTCATAATCAACAGACTGCTTTCAGTCATTACTGTGGCTGTCGTGATATATACTATAAATGCTAATAATATGATAGCTGTACTCCTCTCGGGTTCCAGATCAATCAGGTAAGTGTATATAGTTATTACAATCACTATATAACTCATAGATCCCATAAATATCATAATGAGAGGTACAAGTAATATAATCTGACATTGTAAAACCCACCCATATGTAAGATACGCCAATGTGATCATGATACCAAAAGGTACGATTCCTCTTAAACAAATTTCATGAGTTATATTCTTACCACATCTATTTCTTTCAAATGCAAATATTCAATCCGTGTAAAACCCACCACATACATTTCCAAGGATATACCCTATTCCTTTAGATATGAATACTAGACCAATTTGTGA